TTAATTGCAGGTGTTTGAAGTGGGGCCATCGCTATTTTGCTGCTAACTCCTGAAAACGGGTGATTAGTGATTTTCTTCTATTGAATTCTATTATAGCCAAAAAATGTGAAATTTTGTATTCAATTACAACAAATATGGCTTGCATCATCTGAAAGTTTATAAGTTTTTTGATTTCTGAAATAGTTTTCGAATTATAAACTGTTAAAAACGCATTTTCAAACATTGAATAATTAATTATGGACTTTGAGCGAGATAATGTGCCTAATTTACAGCAATAACCATTTGTAGAATAAAAAAACTGTTTAAAAGTCTTTTATGTAGTTTTTTACAAGCTTTCTGATGATGCAAGTTATATTTGTCACGATTGAATTCAAAATTTCACATTTTTTGTTGTAGTAGAATTTAATAGCAAATAATGCTAATAACATCGTAACTCTAAAAAAACAGTTTCACGATGTTCTACTCATAAAAATATGCTACTGTGCACAATGTGGTGCTTTTAACCCTCTTCGGAAACATCCATGCACATATCCGCCACACTAACAATGAAACCTTTGAGAGTGAAGACGACCCACTAGAACTCACCCTCCTCGACGTGTGTTTTGCAGAACCACTTTCTCATTTCGACAAACGTCAGCCTTCCAGCACACCCAGGTCTCCTAACCAAAGGAGAGGCGCAACACCTTGTCTCATCTACAATTAGCAGGGTGGCTTGTCTCAGCCAATCCTATTCGACAATGGGAATTTCAGGCCAAGCTAAAACCTTATTATTGTCGGCTTGGCGAAAACAAACATCAAGTTCCTATGACTCTGCCTGGAGGCAGTGGTGTGGCTGGTGTGATAAACAACAAATTAATCCACTTCATGCCTCTATCCAACTATAGGTTATTTTGAGGCAACGAGGGGATATGTGATTTATTCACCGAGGCGCATAGCGCCGAGGTGAATAAACACATATCCCTGAGGTGCCTCAAAATAACGTACTTATTTTTCACACTGCGAGGTCGCGTTAATGAGTCAGAATATAAATAATTCTTAATGCCATATTGCCTTCGTTATGTTTTTTTCTCATTTTTTTGTGCTGCAAAGACATTGCAGGTGAATATTAGAGGGGATTATTAATTGCAGGTGAATATTAGAGGGGATTATTAAACGGAAATTGATTAGAGGGGAATATTGAATATATTCCCCGATAAGAACAAAGGAAACCGAGCAGGGTGAAAAATAACATGTAGTTAATTCTTGCCTCGCCACTTTGAAGCCGGGAAGGAGTATTAAACCATTAACATTTATCGGTCAGCACTATCTGCTACCCTTCCAAAACTAGATGGCTTCAGTGTAGGACAACATCCCCTGGTTTGCCAAACTATGAAAGGCATTTTTGAGAGCAAACCTCCGCTCCCAAGATATTGCTCCTCTTGGGACGTATCAGGTGTCTTAGAATATATGAAGTCAATAGGGGATAATGAAGACTTGACAATCAAACAGCTCTCAGCAAAGTTAGCACTTCTGTTTGCACTCACATCTGTGGAGAGAGGGTCAGAACTAGTCGCGCATGACCTTAGATGTTAAAAACCGCACCCAGAAGGGGTAGAGTTTTTTCTAACAGAACTGACAAAATCCATTTGAGTGGGTAAAAACCTCAAAGACTCATTTCATGCTAGCTTTCCCTCAGACAAACGATTGTGTCCTTGTGCATGTCTTAAGGCTTATGAGATTCGTACAGCACATTTAAGACCACAAAGTCCAGAACAAACCAACAGATTTTTTCTAGCTCTAGTAAAACCGCACAAACCAGTACAAGCAGCAACTCTAGCACACTGGATAAGAGATTTTTTATGCCTAGCATGCGTTGACTCCATTTAAAGCTCACTCCACGCAGGCAGCTGCCTCATCTGCTGCAGCTAGGGCAGGTCTTTCAGTAGAGGATATTATTTAGATGGCTAATTGGACAAACGACAATACCTTTAGATGTTTTTATTACAAACCAGTCCATAACTCAACTTTTGGCCGGGCTGTTCTTGGTGAGAAAGTTGCTTTGAACTAGCATTGTTATATTTAGGCGACATTTATGAAATGCAATTTCAGATTATGCAAGACCCGTAGGGTTACAGTATAAGATGAATTGTATGAATAAATGGAGATGAGATATAACAATGCTCCCTCCCTCGCCTCCCTTAATTAGATTGGTATTATGTTTCCTTTTCAGGTTCTGCTTCAGCAAAAAGACGAGGAGTAGGGGCGGACGCTGACAGTTACAGGGGCTAGAGCCTAGTCTTTTATTTAATTATGTTGAGTTAATGTTAAAATGCTGTATTTTGAGCAAAGGGAATAAAGATAAGCATTGTTACATCTCATCTCCATTTATTCATGCAATTCATCTTATGCTGTAACCCTACGGGTCTTGCATAATCTGAAATTGTACTGGTATGCCAGTATGTGAGAATATATTTGTGCACAAACATAATGGATGCAACTTAACTGGTTACTTTCAAGATTAATATTATGTTGGCATAAAACTTTATTACACTTCCCAAATGGGAAAGTGTATTAATATACCAAGTTGCTAGGAAAGCTGTCACCGAAACTGTTCAAGATCAAAAGGGCAAGGAAGGTTACTGGGTTGCATCATGCGGGGGTTATGACATTTGGATTGATGGATGGTCAGTATATAGATACAATTTTCTCAATCATTCACTTACCATAATTTATTGGATTTAATGGCATGCCTTCATTGGCCATTCATTGTGGACATTTCTGAGGAAAGATGCTTTGTCTATATACATTTGTCTGAAAATACTTGTACAATTTAAATTTTTAAACACTTTTTTACTTACAATTAAGGAATATTCTGTTGTCTGGAGCATTTGACAGTAAAAACGAAGTTTCAGTAGGAACTACGAAAAGCATATGGATCTGGAACATTTATAACCTTGGAGGATCCATTAGTTTGAGTATTGTGGCTTACTTCTACAGGTTTTTGAAAGAAAATTATGGAAGCGGATCAAAATAAAATGTATAAAAAAATATATAAAATAAAAAAAAAATATATATTTATATAATTATGTATTAAAATGTATAGTAGGAACTATGAAAAGCATATGGATCTGGAAATTTAACCTAGGAGGATCCACTGTGGCTTACTTCTACAGTTTTTTGAAAGAAAATTATAGAAGCGGATCACCAAGGTTTACAGTGTATTACCATCTGGGAAATGTTGATGAGAACACTAGGTTCTTTCAAAAGAGGTAAGTAATTCCTGTATTTATTCTATTAGACACCATATGGGCATTTTCAAAAATTACTTTGGAAGGGGGACGTTCATTCAAGGGAAGCATTTATTAGAAACAGGTGTCCCATTTTCAAAAGTTTGTATTAGAAACGGGGGGACTCCCAAAACAAGTTTGAAATCTAGAATCAGGTTAGCGCTATTTTCCATCCAGCAAACCGCCCGATATTATTCCCTTATAATTTGCATTGATTACTATATTCCAGTGGGCATTAATGTTGAATATTCACAAAATAAATTAAACATGGCGAGAAACAGACTTATTTGATTTTGAGAATATTTTGATTTTAGAAACAGGGAAACCAGAATATAAACAGATTTATACAAGATGACCTTGGATAAGCCAAATTTTATATTATAACCGTACATCTATATATTAACGTAAATACATGAAATCGCTAGTATATATTAAAGTTCAACTTTTAGTATGTTTCTAATAAGCATTAAGAACCAAGGCAAACAGGATCATTAGTATTGCATAAAACACAATGAATTTAGGCTCATCCATTGCCAGCACTCCTGGTTCAACCCTAAAGATGATAACAGATGTATGTAATAGCTACTAAATATTGGCTGTTGTAATATTTTTTAAAAATGAAATGCTGCAGTGCTTTGCAGATTATTCATCAATACTATTCAAAACATACTATACCTCAATTCTTGCTTTGATGGAACAACCTTGTTCCCAGGCTCTTCCCTCTTGAGGAAGAAAGACCCTGGCAATAGCTGGTCACTTGGCTCCCAGATTCTGGGTGCTAAATTGAAATTGTACTTAGGGAGGGGAGTCGTGTGTTGTACTTTGAAAATTACAACTTGTGTGTTATAGTTTCGGGCAATAAAATTTAAATTTGGAACAAGAAATCCTATAGCATTGAGTGTTGGTTGCATTAGTCAAGCAAGAAGTTGGATCAGATTTCAGTCGACATTCAGTAGTCAGCATTGAAGTGCGCGGGGGGGGGGGGGG